GGGGACATGGTCACTCCAGGAACATGGCTTTAATCTTCCAAATAATGTTGGTTGATGTAAGCGGCCATCAAAACCAAGCCACTCACTCTCAGCTCCATCTATCTCACAGGGTTGTTGTGGGGAAAAATAGTAGGAGTAACTGCTATGTAGGCCATCTTGTGCTCTTGAATTAAAGGTGTAATATAAATCAAATAACTGAACCACTTCCATCAGTGGAAGAATCCGAACTATCTTCTGTTGAAGGCAGAGAGAAAGCCCCTGGATGTGGTTTCATCCCTATAGAGTTACTAAAGGAAAATAAAGGTTGGTGGCCCCAGTGCTGGCGGCTTTATTCGCTTATATTGACAGCACAGCACATTTTCCGTATTAATACAATAAGCGAGCTGTATGTGAAATACCTGTATTTAAAACTCTTGGATTGGGCACAGAGTTAAAATATACTTGCTGAGGAGCAGGCAGGATTTAGAGGGGACCACTCAATCATGGACTGTTGTCTGGTGCTGCACCATTTAGCTGGAAAACTCACCTCACCATCCAAAGTCACACTTTTTGCAGTCTTTGCGGGTTTCAAATCAGCTTTTCAAGGGAGATGTTATGGGGAAAACTATGGAGATCTTCAATGGATGAAAGACTGCTCCTTCTTATCCAGGCTAACACTGCTTTGACAGTCAGGTGTTTCCCCTGGAGGCATTTTTCTGGAGCTGTTACTCCTGAGAGGAATAAAACAGGTGCATATTCTAGCTCCCCTACTTTTCAATCTGCATATTAATTCAACAATTTTGGGTCTCACGTCTTCTGTTTATCACCCTCAATGTCAGCAGATTATGCAATTCCAGCTTTGTGGTATGTAGACAAGTTAGTAATTTTTCTCCCAGGTGGGAATGAGAAGGGCATTGGGTATTTTTTGCCTAAAAAAACCTTGTAATAAATTATCAAAATAGTGAAGTATGACAATACTATAGGATGCATAAATGGCAAATTAATGGGACCCCAACAGACCAGATGTATACTTATATTTTGGGCTACAGTTCCAGGACTCCTTATCTTGGAGCACATATTTCTCCTATTGGGCTAGTGTTGCTCCTCAGCTGTCTTGAGCTTTTTCCATTCAACGGGAGCACATTTATTCTTGGAGCTTGCAAGGTCTTTTTTGTGTAGGGTTTTCACAGCTTCTTTATGTTGTTCATGTTTATACTTTTACAAACGTTTGGACTGGATACTTTGGAAGCTTTCCATCCAAGTTTATAAGAGCTCTCCTTGTACTTCCAAGAGTTAAAATTAAAAATTAAAATTAAAAATGCTGCCTAGTGGTTAGCCAGATTTGGTATCTTTGGGTGCCAGAGCTTGGTATTGTCTCATGAATTTCTGGTCAAAATTTACTTTTTTCCCTATGGCTCTGGCCCCACTGGTTCTGAGACCATTTTAAATCAATTTGGCTAACAAGAGCAAATAGCAAGTCTCTAAGTCTCCATGGACAGTCCCTGCCCATTAGGGTCGAAAACACCAGGAGTCATCTTAAACAGCATTATCTGAGATATGGATTTCCAAACCAGTCTTAGTGCCCAATCCCACAGTCTGTGGTTGTTGTTTTTTTTCAAATGGGTGGGCATCGTGATCTCTCCTCCATTCTAATTCTGAAATTTCACTGGGTCTTCACCTTGGCCAGGTTGGATGTGGTACCCACTGCAATCCTGTGGGGGCATCCTAAAAATGTCCCTCTACATCAGCACATATGACCATGCATGGATGGCTCCAAGGAGTCCCTGAGCCACATGCTCCTTTATTGTTCTCTTTACAGGGAATCTTGTATGATATTCATCAATCCCATTCCAGAGAAATACCCTGGCAGAGAGGACAATACTCACTTGTTGCTGCTTCTGTCTAAACAGGACTCAATGTATCTTCCCAGGTTACCCGATTCTGTGTCTCTTGTATGTTCTTTCTGACCCACTTACAACTGACAATTAGTGCTAATCTTGGTGATCACCACCATTATTTGTATGATGTTATTTTATTGTATGCTTGTTTTTTATTCATATCTGCAGGTTTTAGGTGTATGTGTTTCTATATATACCTGATATACATGTTTGATGTATGTTGTGTTTCTGGTCAAAGGCTGTAATAAAGGCAGGAAGGTCACCAGCTTCCTAAAGAATTGGTTCAACTGCTGAATTCTTATTATTATCATTTTTTCCCTAACATTCAGTCAGACACTGCATACCTGTTAGGTAGATGATTACTTTGTGTCCTCCATTCTAGGATGATAGAAAATGGTCCATGATATTCTTCTGCATCACAGCCTTTTCAGATGCTTGTCCCCTACCCCCAAACTGGCTAAGGCTAAGTATACCTAGCTTTTCCTTAATCTGTCCTCAATGGACTTAATTTCCAATCTGCTGCTCACAAGAATTGATGTTCTTCTAACCTCTTTTTAATCCTCCTTAAATTTGGTGCCCATGAGAGTACATGAATGGAGGTCTGACCAATACTTAATAGCATGAAATACAGAACATGATGGTGTCTGACCAACTTAAAGTGGAAGATCAATGGCCATAAGAGCTGCCAACATTTTCATCATTTGTAGTAGAGATGGGAACAATAAAAGGGGCAGTAACACGACAAAAACACAAAACCCACGAGGCAAAGAAAGAACAGCCACCAATTTGATACCACAGAATTATATTTATGTTTTTTTCTTCACATTGCAACATCCATGTTGTTCATTTTGTGACACATTATCTCTAATAATTCTGAATATATATTTACTATAATACATTATACCAAGAGGCACTTCCAGTAATTCTGGCAAAAAGGAGCTTCATTATAGTGTCTAACTTACAAAACAGTAAAAATAAATAATGTTTATCTAAAAGAGTTCTCCTGTTTCTCCGCCTGTACAGAATCTATTTTGTACAAAACATTTATCAGCCATTAACTAAAAATCACTGAACAAATACTCGTGAAGGGAATATATTAAGTATTGCTACATGTCTTAAGTGCAAGGTATCAGTGAGAAGGAAAGCCAACAGAGATTTCAGTCAGTTTGTGAAAGATCATTACCTAAAAATACAAGGCCTTGTTTTTGAAGTTTTGTCTTAAAGAAGTTTGGTTACAACAATATTGGCAATATATAAATATAAATTAATGCAAGTAGTACTTAGTGAAAAGAAGACAGTGTTAAAAAAATGGACATCTACAAATACTGAATGGAGAAGGTACATGTCTACAGTATTACTATCGTTGGCAGTTCCACCTTCTTTGGGAGGGATGAAAGAGCCAAACATGAGCCCCTTTTATAAAGCCTCATTTGATTTTAGTGGGACACTGAAGGAGCAAGTTGGGTGTTGTTATCAAAGCACAGATGCTATTTCTTTCAGCAACTTCCTCAGTGCCCTTTCTGCCAGCTCTTCTTTCCAACTTAAAGAGTATCCCTTCCGAAGAAGAAACAGCAGCCAGAGGCACTCAGGCAAGGCAAGGGTCCTTCAAACTGCTATTTCTCCACCATCTTCCCACTTTCCTTTGTTTTGGCCCTTCAAAGAATGTTGGACTCCAGATATTGCTGCTCAACAACTTCCAAGAACTCTCACCTCCAGCTATCCTGGATGGAGATTCCTCGTTGGGATTGTGGCTCTAAATATAGGCAGTGCTGGTAGGACACATTAGTCAACGCTTGTTGAAATATCACCTCTTGAAAAATTAATGGGCCTTGGAAGCATTCAGGTCTGGCTTGATCACCTCCCCCCCCCCATTTTCCCCCCCTTTTGAAGAAAAGAGTATCTCAAGATATTGCTTTTGAGAAAACTTTCAATGAAACAGACAGCTCTACTAAGAGACCTTGGTGGGGTGGACAACCAACAATAACTGAAAGCATCAAACCTGTCAAGGTGAACTGGGAGAATGGGATCCTTCAAGCAAAAGCCACTATGATTTGTTGAATGCTCAGATTGAACAGAGGACTCAATTACTACCATGTGCTGAAAGTGTACCTCTCAAGTTAGAAATCAACGTTATTTGTTGTCAAGAGAAGCAAGAGTGAATTGGCTTCAATTCCTGTGATGGTCACATACATACCCATCTTTCAAAAGGTTGCTGGGGGTAATCATTCTTAATTTTGGTGGATGATTTAATCATTACCTGATCCACAGCAAACAAGATAGATACGTGGGTGTATCATAAGTGCATGGATATTAAGCATCACTTGTGCATGGAAAGTTACAGGGATCAGAGATACAAAAACTATTCTGTAAGAATGCAACTGGATCAAATCCTACCCACCAAGTAGTAATGACAAACTTCCAGATGCCAAGCAGAAGTAAAAGTCCTGTTTTGTGGCCAGGAAGCTGCCTAGCAACTGATTCTTGAGAGTATAACAGAATACTCTTATCCAGAAAACAAATCAGGTTATGTCTGAAATCATCTCTGATTACCAGAAGTTCTGGGGAAGTCAAAGGCTGAGATTGGAACTTTAAAACTGAGACTACAGCTTTGTTACAACCCATGCTTCAATATCCTAATCCAGAAGTTATTGAAGACTCCAGAATAAGTATAAAGAGCTCTCCTCCTTAAGAAGTCATTTCTGTTTCTTCTGGCATAAAGGATGATCATCTAAATGCTTTTCTCTTCTTTCTGCTAAATTCACAGAAAGGAAAGGGAGGCTTCCAAATGCCATCTCCATTGTCCAAATGAAGTCCTGGACTAGTGAATTGATATATTTTGACAATCGTAAGAAGTATAGAGTATTCTGAACTCTGTAAAAAGCAAGCCAACAAGCGAATGGGTCATATACACAATAGTTTGAATGCTTGCAAGCTATCTTTAAAGATCACTCAAAATGGTTAAAGGTCGTATTTGATCTTAACTTGGAACAATGCAGGAGTATTGTCCCTGCCTGCCCCCCCCCGCCCCGACCG